CTAGTTTCTTCATAGCTGTAGAACTTAACTAACAACTCTCTCTCTGGTCTCTTTTGAATCACTTGTCGGTAAAAGAAAGGATTGATAGAGAATGTAAGCGTAAACTCTGACTGAATGATTAGACTCAACAAACAACTCTTTCCTTGTCCCTTCCCTTTATCTCTTCTTGAACTGTAAGAGAAGAAGAAGAAGAGGGGCAAGCTACGACTCTATATTAGTGGTCCCTCACGAGCTACTTCATTCAGAAAGCTCTTACCTAACCTACTTCACTCATTCAATCTGAAAGCAAGCTCTACTATTCCTCCATTGTTAAAACCTTAATACTCTGTCGTCTATTCTATTACCTTAGGAGTATATGGTTACCTTGTATAGTATGTATTGTATCTTGTTTGTTACTAGAAGAGTATATTGTTACCTGTTGAGTATGTATCTTGTTTGTTACCTTGATAGTATATTAAACAAGGAAAGACTGACTAAAGATTCATTATCTAATTCCTTAAACCTAAAAAACAAGTAAAGAAAAGACTATCGAAAGCCAAAGAATTTACTGTCTTACTTACTCTTTGAATAAAAGGAAAGAGGGTTACAAGTTAGCTATCTATCTATCCTTTCTTCTCTTGATCATGAATTAACCTGTATATGAAATACTTGCCCTATGCTTTCTTTATAGTCTTTATTCAAGAAGGGAGACTAAAGCTTCATTCACCTTTTCCCTGACTCTGTAAATGTAATAGGTGTTAGTTTACGAACTGAACTACTTATTCATTCAATCCTCAAGCAAGACAAGAAGAAAGAAGGAGGCAGGCAGACTAAAGACCCATTAATGCATTCCCCTTATTCTTATACTCAATAGGTATAAAATAGAAAGAATAGTTTAGGGGCGAAGGGAAGTAGGTAAACTATTGATACTGATACTGTAAGGAAAGACTCTACTCTCAATTCATTCTTTCTCTTCCCCTGAACCTGTCGGTAAAGCAGCTTCGTTCGCTCTTAAACCCTCCGGGTCTCACAATTCCATTCCCTTCCCTGGACCTTTCTTTAACTGATCTCTCTCCCTTGAACTCGGGTTTCACTCTGTAACATAGGCTGGATGAGAAGAACCTTCCCCTCTCCCTTCACTGTAAGTAAAAGAGCGATACTCCTTATGAATGAGACAGAACTACTTCACTCGGATATTCAATCCTTGTCCCCTTGTCTCACTGCTTGGTTCTTGACTTGAACAGTAAGCAAAGACTCCTTATTCCTTCTCCCTCCTTATTTATTCTCGCATATTCATTCAATCCTTCTTTCACTCCGTCCCCTATCCTATCTTATCCTATACTGCTGTAGACTAGTAAGTAAATCAAAGAAGAAGAAACCGACAAAGAGCTACTTCACACGAATATTCCCTTTTTGACAATGTTTGAAAGAAAAGAGACTCAATGATATGAACCAAGATACATCAATCATACAATATACTTCAATGAAGATGCGAAGAAAAGGTTGTCAAAATTATCAAAAAGATGTTTCAATTCATGCTACATTGAAGAAGAATGAAGTTTGATTGTTGTAAATTTTGGGTGGGTTACAATTTAGAGTAATTTAGAGTTATTGTATTTTAAGACTTGTTATTTAATTTCGGTTACATTTAAATAATGGCTAATTATGGCCATAAAGTAGGAATGTTACAACTTTTGGAATACCTTTAGTAGTTTCATTTTTTAGGCTATATAAAGCGATGTATGTTGTATGTGTAAGGAAGACTTGGAAAATATAGTAAAAAAAGCATTTGTGCTTTTCTTTAGCCAATGGCTAAGTTTCTTTGCAATTCTATGTAGTTTAGGTTGCATGTAGAATCATTCAAGCTCGACATGATCAACCTTGCTTGTGGAGTGATTCGAATCTCAAACAAGTGTTTGAGATATTTGATCAACAAGAATTATTGAAGCTAGACATGATCGATCTTGCTTCTGGAGTGATTCGAATCTCAAACAAAGTGTTCTTGGCTTGAGATATTCGATCTACAAGGTAATCCGAATCTTACTCCCCTTGTAGTGATTCCTTATCGTATCATTTGCTTCAATCCTTGTCCCCTTGTCTCACTGCTTGGTTCTTGACTTGAACAGTAAGCAAAGACTCCTTATTCCTTCTCCCTCCTTATTTATTCTCGCATATTCATTCAATCCTTCTTTCACTCCGTCCCCTATCCTATCTTATCCTATACTGCTGTAGACTAGTAAGTAAATCAAAGAAGAAGAAACCGACAAAGAGCTACTTCACACGAATATTCCCTTTTTGACAATGTTTGAAAGAAAAGAGACTCAATGATATGAACCAAGATACATCAATCATACAATATACTTCAATGAAGATGCGAAGAAAAGGTTGTCAAAATTATCAAAAAGATGTTTCAATTCATGCTACATTGAAGAAGAATGAAGTTTGATTGTTGTAAATTTTGGGTGGGTTACAATTTAGAGTAATTTAGAGTTATTGTATTTTAAGACTTGTTATTTAATTTCGGTTACATTTACATAATGGCTAATTATGGCCATAAAGTAGGAATGTTACAACTTTTGGAATACCTTTAGTAGTTTCATTTTTTAGGCTATATAAAGCCATGTATGTTGTATTTGTAAGGAAGACTTAGAAGATATATCAAAAGAAGCATTTGTGCTTTTCTTTAGCCAATGGCTAAGTTTCTTTGCAACTCTATGTAGTTTAGATTGCATGTAGAATCATTCAAGCTCGACATGATCAACCTTGCTTGTGGAGTGATTCGAATCTCAAACAAGTGTTTGAGATATTTGATCAACAAGAATCATTGAAGCTAGACATGATCGATCTTGCTTCTGGAGTGATTCGAATCTCAAACAAAGTGTTCTTGGCTTGAGATATTCGATCTACAAGGTAATCCGAATCTTACTCCCCTTGTAGTGATTCCTTATCGTATCATTTGCTTCAATCCTTGTCCCCTTGTCTCACTGCTTGGTTCTTGACTTGAACAGTAAGCAAAGACTCCTTATTCCTTCTCCCTCCTTATTTATTCTCGCATATTCATTCAATCCTTCTTTCACTCCGTCCCCTATCCTATCTTATCCTATACTGCTGTAGACTAGTAAGTAAATCAAAGAAGAAGAAACCGACAAAGAGCTACTTCACACGAATATTCCCTTTTTGACAATGTTTGAAAGAAAAGAGACTCAACATTAATGAATGAGACAGAACCTCTATTGCTGGGCTACTTCACCGGCGGAACCTCTCTTCCTTCGCTACTGAACCTGAAGTCAAGATTGACTGACCTTTTATTGCCTTATTTCGCTTCTTCTTTGTTTAACAGTACGGAAGTATGGAATGAATCTGAGCTCTGATCTTTCTTTCTACTTATTCACTTCACCTTTTATTGATGTAACTCTTGATCCTGAACGGACCCCTTTACTGTATGTCGAGCTACTTACTCATGAACGCAACCCCTACAACTATCAGTCTGCGTAACTACTCACTCTCCCTACTATCATTCTATCCTCTATTTATTGTTGAACGAGGTCAAGCTATTTGAGGAAAGCAAGAGAAGATTAATTCTCCCTTACTTCTTAGTCGAGTAAATGAAAGAAGGAGCCTCTTCGTTCTCAATCACTTGTGGGTAAAGCAACTGAGCGACTGAACCTGCCCCTTTGACTGACTCAACTTCTATTTCTTCTTTTATAGTGTTTGAAAGAAGAAAGCTAACCCCTTATTCCTCTACTCTGTTTCTGGATGATCCTGAGCCTATGTATTCTTTTGTTGTCTCGTAAATTCATTCAATCCTAAGCCTCTACACTACAACCCGGTCTCATTGGTTCTTTCGACTGAAGAGGACATATGGTCGATTGAGAATCTATTCTTTCACAGTAAACTAAGAAAGCTGAAACTCAAGATTAATTAGACTGTAACTATAAGACTCAACTCAAGAAGAATTAGACGGAAAAGAAAGATCTGCTCCTAAACCTTACCTTCTCTTTCTCCTTTAAAACAGTCAAAACGAAATAACTACTTTATCACCTTCCCCGTACGATTTATTGCTCTGCTCCTGAACCTTAACTCACTCTTTCTGGCTTTCTTTCACAGTAAACGAAATAACTACTTTATCACCTTCACTCTTGGACAAGGTCAAGCTATTTTACGGTCTCTGTTTCTAGTTGTTCGTTATATTCTTTGCAGAGGGTAAATTCAGGGAGATGTTGAGACTTTTTCTTTCTGTTGACTTTACGGGGATTTGTTTGAGGCTTATGTAATGAGACTGATTTGACTCTTTCACCTTGTATGTATGTAAATAGGTTGAGCGTAAGGTCAAGCTGATTCACCTATTCATTCTATTGATAAAGCAAGCTGCAGCTAATTCATGGCCTCTTTCACTTCCAACAACTCTGTCTTCTGAGTCTCCTGGCCTTTACTTAACTGATACTAAACTCCTCATTCCCATTATCTTGAATGAGGTAAGTGGTATAGTATTTAGTCTTTCCCCTACCGCTCTCTCTGTCTGTCAGCTTGGCTCCTTGAACTGATTGAAGTGATTTTATTACATTGCCTGTATACCATGTACTTCTACCCCTGATGTCACTCTGGGTAAGTAAATGCGAGTATTCCCCTTCCCCTCTATCTGTAAGCTTGGCTGCTTCACCTATTAATTCTTTTCTTTCTTCTTCACCTCTGTCTCAGTTTAAGTTCCGTAACTTGTCTGTCTAACTCACTTTTCTTTTCACAAGTCAAGACTAAAGAGAAAGCTAGCTACTGCTACTAAACTTCACACTTACAACTCTTACACTGACTACTGCCTCTACTGGAAGAACTGACTACTGCCTACTCATTAAGCCCTATTCATTCCCTGGCGAGAACAACCTATGTAAGTTAGTTACTACTTGATTGACCTTCCTTCAATCCTCTAAGTAACCTTACTTAACTTGACAAGAGAAGAAGAAGATTAGTTTAATTACGGAAAGGTAAAGTCCTCTCCTCTAAGTAACCGAAGAGAAAGCAAGACAAGAACAACAATATTCTCTTATTCATTACAGGAGGGTCAAGCTCCTTTCCCTGTCGGTAAAGCTGCTTCACTCCTTCACCTCCCCTGTGGGTAAAGGGGCTTCGCTCATGAACTTCTAGAGCACAACAACAACAAGATTAATTACGGGTCGGTAATGCTACTAACTTGACGAGACAAGAAGAACAAGAAGAAAGATTAATTATATACGGGAAGGAAGGTAAAGTCACACCTGACGAAGAACAATTTTATTAGAAGCAAGAAGGGGTAAAGCTACTCACCTGACATTACGGAAGGGTCAAGCTTACCTGACGAGACAGGAAGAACAAGAAACAATATTATGACATTACAAGAGGAGGGTCAAGGTCAAGGTCATTCGCCTCTGGAGCAAGAGAACAAGAAGATTATTCCATTACGGGAAAGAGGGTAAAGGTCAAGCTCATTCACTTCTCTTCTGGAGCACAAAAGGAAGAAGATTCTATTACGGGAAAGAAGGTCAAGTCCTCTCTTCTAAGTCACCAAGCAAGCCAAGAGCATGAATTACATGCGTCGAAGGGGTTTTCAAGCTAACCTAACGTCTTAAGAAAGCAAGCATCAGGCAAGCAAGAACAAGATATGAATTAAAGGCTGGAAGGGGTAAAGTTAACCTAACATCTTCGAGCAAGCCAACAAACACCAACTACAATTGTAAGGTCAAGTACCCTCTGGTCTAGAGCAAGAACTAGATTTACAAGAAGGGTCGGTCAGGCTTACCTAACGTCTCAAGAAAGACAAAGAAGAAGAAAAGATTCATTACATACAAAAAGCGAAGTCACCTAATAGAGCAAGCAACCAAGACAGACAAGAAGATGAATTACAGACGGAAAGGTAAACTCATGAACCTACAAGAGCATTCATTACATACTAAGAAGGGGTTTTCAAGCTAACCTTTCTTTACAATCTACTGAATAGTGTTTAGTAGAATCAATCAAACTTACCTGCTCTGGCTTAACTACTCACAAACTGACCTGCTCTGGCTGGCTTAACCTGTTTGATACGATAAGGAATCAACTACAAGGGGGTAAGATTCGGATTACCTTGTAGATCGAATATCTCAAGCCAAGAACACTTTGTTTGAGATTCGAATCACTCCAGAAGCAAGATCGATCATGTCTAGCTTCAATGATTCTTGTTGATCAAATATCTCAAACACTTGTTTGAGATTCGAATCACTCCACAAGCAAGATTGATCATGTCAAGCTTGAATGATTCTACATGCAACCTAAACTACATAGAATTGCAAAGAAACTTAGCCATTGGCTAAAGAAAAGCACAAATGCTTCTTTTGATATATCTTCTAAGTCTTACTTACAAATACAACAAACATGGCTTTATATAGCCTCAAAATGAAAATTACAAAAGTTGTAACATTCACACTTTATGGCCATAATTAGCCATTATGTAAATGTAACCGAAATTAAATAAAAAGTCTTAAAATACAATAACTCTAAATTATAACCCACCCAAAATTTACAACAATCAAACTTTATTCTTCTTCAATGTAGCATGAATTGAAACATCTTTTGATAATTTTGACAACCTTTTCTTCACATCTTCATTGAAGCATATTGTATGATTGATGTCTCTTGGTTCATATCATTCTCCACTTCTTCAAGAGGATTCGTCCTCGAATCTATTTGTGAAACTTTGCTGCAAAAAATAAGGTATGGAAATACAAAGGACCTCACAACACTCTCTCACGTGTATACACTCAAGGAATTTTAGGCCACTCTGTTTGCACTCATTTACACAAATGAAGCTCTCATTCTCACCTCTCAAAATTTTAAATAGAGCAAAGATTGAATTTTGAACTTTGGGTCGATTAAAAACTAAAAAGATGAAAATAAATAAAAATTAAATTGAGAAGAAACGCAAAGGAAACATATATCCGATCTTGAGCCTGAAGCTCTGATACCAAATGATAAGATAAGGAATCAATACAAGGGGAATAAGATTCGGATTACCTTGTTGATCGAATATCTCAAGCCAAGAACACTTTGTTTGAGATTCGAATCACTCCAGAAGCAAGATCGATCATGTCTAGCTTCAATGATTCTTGTTGATCAAATATCTCAAACACTTGTTTGAGATTCGAATCACTCCACAAGCAAGATTGATCATGTCAAGCTTGAATGATTCTACATGCAACCTAAACTACATAGAATTGCAAACAAACTCAGCCATTGGCTAAGAAAAAGCACAAATGCTTCTTTTAATATATTTTCCAAGTCTCTCTTACAAATACAACATACATGGCTTTATATAGCCTCAAAATGAAAGCATTCCAAAAGTTGTAACATTCATACTTAATGACCATAATTAGCCATTATGTAAATGTAACCTATAAAGTAAATAAAATGTCTTAAAATACAATAACTCTAAATTACTCTAAATTGTAACCCACCCAAAATTTATAACCATCAAACTTCATTCCTCTTCAATGTGACATGAATTGCAACCTCTTTTGATAATTTTGACATCATTTTCTTCACATCTTCATTGAAGTATATTGTATGAATGATGTCTCTTGGTTCATATCATTCTCCACTTCTTCAAGAGGATTCGTCCTCGAATCTATTTGTGAAACTTTGCTGCAAAACATAAGATATGAAAATACAAAGGCCCTCACAACAATCTCCCATGTGCATACAACACTCAAGGATTTTTTTTTTAGGCCACTCTGTTTACACAAATGAAGCTCTCATTCTCACCTCTCAAAATTGTAAATATAGCAAAGATTGAATTTTGAACTTTGGGTCGATTAAAAACTAAAAAGAAAAAAACAAATTGAAAAGAAACGCAAAGGAAACATATATCCGATCTTGAGCCTAAAGCTCTGATACCAAATGATACGATAAGGAATCAACTACAAGGGGGTAAGATTCGGATTACCTTGTAGATCGAATATCTCAAGCCAAGAACACTTTGTTTGAGATTCGAATCACTCCAGAAGCAAGATCGATCATGTCTAGCTTCAATGATTCTTGTTGATCAAATATCTCAAACACTTGTTTGAGATTCGAATCACTCCACAAGCAAGATTGATCATGTCGAGCTTGAATGATTCTACATGCAATCTAAACTACATAGAATTGCAAACAAACTCAGCCATTGGCTAAGAAAAAGCACAAATGCTTCTTTTAATATATTTTCCAAGTCTCTCTTACAAATACAACATACATGGCTTTATATAGCCTCAAAATGAAAGCATTCCAAAAGTTGTAACATTCATACTTAATGACCATAATTAGCCATTATGTAAATGTAACCTATAAAGTAAATAAAATGTCTTAAAATACAATAACTCTAAATTACTCTAAATTGTAACCCACCCAAAATTTATAACCATCAAACTTCATTCCTCTTCAATGTGACATGAATTGCAACCTCTTTTGATAATTTTGACATCATTTTCTTCACATCTTCATTGAAGTATATTGTATGAATGATGTCTCTTGGTTCATATCACTGTTCCTTACCATTAACCTTGTCCTGAGTTTACAGTCAAAGAGAGAAGGGGGAGAGTCAAGCGTAATTAGAGAATGAATTGATTGAAGAATGAAAGAGTCAAGCCTTCCCTTACGAAAAAGAGATAACTACCTAACTAACTGCTGCCCCCTCCCTAGTAATACGATATGTATTCCCTTCCCAACCGACTCAAGTAAAGAAAAAGAAGAGAGTTTCCGGGCTAGGCTGGCTTTCACTGCTTGCTTTTACTCCTTCCCCGCTATTGCCTGAACTACTGATTAATGATCCGTCACAGTCAGTCTCAACTCCTTTCCTTATTATAGAGAGTTTACGGGTGGGTTAGGTCGTACTATTAGATACTACTGATTGATGCTTTCTTGCTTGTTGTGTTGTAGGGAACTTGCCTGCTTCTTGCCTGAGAGAGAACAGTCAGGACAGAGTCAGTAAAGAAGCCGCCTTATCCTTAAGTTAAAGATTGTATTGTAATTTAGATAACCTCCTTCCCTCCTCCCTAACTAAGAGAGATAACTCGAAATAACTATAAAGATAACTAACAGAGAGATAATTAACTGCTGCCGGCCCCCCTTCCTTGTCCGATATTGATTCTTGAGGTTGAACTAAGTAAGTCGCTAGAATGAAGAACCTACCTGCGTAAGAAGAGCAATCAGTCCTTTACTAGTCAATGAGATTAAGGGAAGCGACTGACTGAACCTGTCGGTAAAGCGGCTTAGCTTCTCTCTTTCACTTAGTCTTCAACAAGGTAATTCGCAGCTTCGCTCCTTCCCGGAAGCCTTACTAACGAAGAAGAAAGCGAAACCAGCCTTTTGTGAGACTATCCTATCCTTAGTGAAAGACTCAAAGTCAAGAAAGTTTAGAGTTAAAGTTTACCTTGTCGTAAAGAAAAGCGGAATCAACCTCTGACCCAGACTAGGAGGAAGGCAAGACTCCCAAAGTCAAAGGCAAAGAGAACCAACCTCTGCCCCGTAACCACTAGAAGTGAGTGTTTTCTTTCGCGTATGAACCTATCTATCGTTCTCATAATGGAATTGCCAGCCGCCCTTATCCTCGTCTCTCTTCTTCTCCGCTCTCTCTCCAACTCTGTCTGTTTCATGTCTTCTTCCCTCTCCCAACCAGCTGCCTCGCCCCTCTCTCTGATCTTCTTGTCTGGTTGCTTCTTCCCTCGTATCCACCAACTATTACTTTGTCTCTCCTTTACTGGAGGTAAGATATTTGTTTATTTTCCTTGCCCTATGCTCTTCTTTCTTTTCTTTACTTTACCTTTCGAGTGTTTGTGAAAGTCAAGCCTAAAGATTCATTCTCATTCACTGAATCACTATACTTCTTTGATTTCCATTAGCAAGTCTTTGATCAAGTCAAGACTCGGCAAATGAAAGAGCAAGATCAATTCAAGACTAAAGTAGGCTAGTAGTCTTACCGCTTCTCCCGGTAACCTGTCCAACTCTTCTTTCACGGAAGGAAAGACTGAACCTCACTCAAGCTAGCTAGCTATACTAAACCAGAACCTGAAAGAAAGCATTCCCTACTCTAGACTTACCCTAGAACCTGAAAGCATTCCCTACTCACTCTATACTGACACTTCCAACTCCCTCTCTACTTTCACTTAGAACTCTATACTTATTACACACTTCCTCCTC